TCCATGTAGGCCACCGGGAGAGAAAAGATTGGAGATTGGTGGGGGTAGGGGGAGGGTGGGAGAGATTCCTCCAGGCCTTTCAGTCCTGGATCCAGCTGTCCCTGAAGCTAGCCCATTCTGACCCTTTCTATCTATTGGTTCAGTGAAACAATACATTTTTTTTGTTTTTTTGGTTTGTGTGAGTTTGCATAACTGGCATTTACAGCAGAACGCATCCTGGTCAGTATAGACAAGACTTTGCCCTGATTTTTACCATGAACCTTTACATGTTAATACTGTCCCGTCCCTTGTCCTTATTGTCCTCACAAGATTCTAGCTCAGCTCTTTCAAGGCACCTTTAAAATGTCTTCTACAACTCCTTACACAAGTATTCAACTGTTTTGATGTGAATTAAATAGAATTTTAGTTATTTTCTCACATACACTCAAATTATCATCCCCTCCCTCCCCCAAATCTGTATGATTTTGGAGGACAAGGACACTATTTTCTACTTTTTTAAAGCTCCTGAAAAGTGCTCTGCACACGGTCGGAACTCGCAAAATACTGGGGATTGTGGTGACAGTAATGACCACGTCATCAGAGGAACCCACTAACTTCGTGCACTGTAACATTCTTAAACCCAGCGAGTCACACGGATGACAAGGTCACGTGGAAACAGAGACCCTTCGGCCTGGAGTCCAGCCTGGAAGTTAAGATTGCACATGACTCCCCACAACACCTCCTCCTCCCTGGGGAATTTCAATCAGCCCTGGCTAAAGAGGAGAGCTGCTTCTGGAACTTACCCCACGAACTGAGCCCTGGACAGTAAGAGCCTAAATACGGACAGCAGTGGCTACAGTCTGTTTTTATCACAAGTGCCAGAGGGGCCTGTGGCTAGTAACTTCTGGTCCTAAGGCCCTGGGAAGCTCCAGAAATTAAAGCGAGGAAGCTGGGTGCACACATGAACACACACCAAGGACATTGTCAGCAGACAAATAACATGCTTTATCTACTTATGTAATTGCAACTTTTCAAAAACATCTTCTCAAGTACATTTACGGTCATTAATTTGTGGGGAGATGGGGTGGATGTGTGAGGGTGTGATACCGTGAGTGAAGTGTTCTGACTTGCAAGAGTCCCTCCTATCTGAGAACCTCAGCTCGGGCGGTTGAGGGGAGGCGAGAAAGCAGTGGGCCCTGTGCGCCACTAGAGGGCGCCAGGGAGCCGGACATCTCAAATTTGGGTGCGTGACACAGTCCTCAAGACATCTCAAAGGCCAGAAGTGGGGCCTCTTTTGCAGATAGAGATCGAAGCTCGTGGCCACCAGCCAGCGGTGACTGAGTGGAAACAGAACTGCACCGCCCAGTCTGTGCTTTGGGCATTCCGAGGCTTCTGCTACCAGGAAAGGCCCGGAAGTTCCGTCTCTGTGGTTAAGCTTTAGGGATGTCTCTTAGCTTCATTACAATTCTCTTTGTCCTAGCCAGTTCTCCAGACCTAAGCCAAATCTGCGTTCTTTCCGTCTCACTCAGGCCCTGGGGGCAGATCCCCCAGGCAGTGAGGGGATTAGGTAAGTGTGAGGAAGGAGAGAGAAGGCAGCCATTTCTACCTACAATGCCCTTGTTGTCTTTCTTGAAGGCAGCAGCAGGAAACCTGCTTCAGGACAAGAGCAACTTCAGTTTTTCCAGGTGAGTGGGTGTCCAGGAAGTGCCCACGGAGCTGCCTCCAGGAGAATGAGTCATTTATTGGGAAAATGGTAAAAGGACTTAATCACCAAGACTATGGAGACATTATACCCAAGAACTGGAAGTATGTCTTTTTCCGATGCTGCTCTAATGTTGTCACTGGCAGGGTGATCCACTGCAGAAGCCAACCAAAGGATTCCTGACCCTAAAAAAGCCTTTTGGGCAACAGACTATGGCCTGGAATAGTCAACAGACAGACCACAGCCCGGGATAATTAACACACCAAGGGTGCTCCCCTGTGCTTTGAAAGGTCAAAGGAAACTTTCTCCCTTTTAAAATTCTCAACCCCAAACCCCTTCTTAATCTGCAAATAATAAATGCTGGAGAGGGTGTAGAGATAGGGGAACCCTCCTACACTGTTGCTGGGAATGTAAATTGGTGCAGCCACTATGGAGAACAGTTCCTTAAAAAGCTAAAAATAGAGTTACCGTATGATCCAGCAATCCCCCAGTCCTGGGCTTATATCCAGAAAAGATGAAAACTCTAATTTGGAAAGATACATGCACCCCAGTGTTCATAGCAGCACTATATACAATTGCCAAGACATAGAAGCAGCCTAAGTGTCCATCAACAGATGAATGGATAAAGAAGATGTGAGAGAGATAGATACATACATACATATATATGTGTATATGTATATATATATATATATATAGTGGAATATTATTCAGCCATAAAAAAGAATGAAATGTTGCCATTTGCAGCATCATGTACGGACCTAAAGGTTATCATACTGAGTGAAGTCAGACAGAGAAATACAAATATCATATGATATCACTTATATGTGAAATCTTAAAAATGATACAAATGAACTTACTACAAAACAGAAACAGAGTCAGACATAGAAAACAAACTTATGTTACCAAAGGGGAGACATAAATTGGGAGTTTGGGATTAACAGATACACACTACCTATCTATATATAAAATAGATAAACAGCAAGTACTTACTGTATAGTATAAGGAACTATATTTGATATCTTATAATAAACTATAATGGAAAAGCATCTGAAAAAGAATATCTATATCTATATATATCTGAATCATTTTGCTGTACACCTGAAACTAACACAACATTGTAAACCAAATATACTTCAATAAAAAAATAGATAAGGTCTGTGGAATGAATGACTGTTGCACTGAGAAAACAAAGGACCTAGTTAAATCCTGAACTTCCTTCTCTTCTCCCTCAAAGTTTTATGTTTTCTTCCCTCCATCCTTCCTCTCTCCCTCCCTCCCTTCCTTCCCTTCTTCCCAGCTTGCTTCCTTCCTTTCTCTCTCTTCTTCTTTTTTTCCCTACATACCATAAATGTCACTTTTTAGAGTGTACAATTCAGTAGCTTTTAATATACTCATGGAATTGTGCAACAATCACCCCATCTAATTCCAGAGCATTTTCATCACCCCCCAGAAGAAACCCTGTCCCCATGATCAGTCACTCTAGCTCCTCTCTGCACTCAGCTCCTGAAAACTGCTAATTTCCTTTCTATCTTTATAGATTTCTTATACTGGACATTTCATATAAATGGGATCATACCATATATGGCCTTATGTGGCTGACTTCTTTCATTTAATATAATGTTTTCAAGGATCATCCATTTGTAGTTTGTTATTACTTTGTTCCCTTTTTATTGCTGAATAGTATTCTGTTGCGTAGATATACCACTTTGTTCGCCCATTCATCAGTTGATGGACATTTGAGTTATTTCCACTTTTTGGCTATTATAAATAATGTTATAAACATTCATGTGCAGGTTTTTGTGTGAATATATGTTTTCATTTCTCTTGAGTAAATATGTAGGAGTAGATTTGCTGGATCATCTGGCAGCTCTGCTTGATCTTTTGAGGAACTTCCAGACTGTTTTCCAAAGTAGCTGCACCATTTTATATTCCCACTAGCAATGTATGAAAGTTCCAGTTCATCCACATCCTTACTAATACTTTTTATTGTCTGTCCTTTTGGTTACAGCCATCCTAGTTGGGGTGAAGCAGTATCACATAGTGATTTTGATTTGCATTTGTCCAAGTGGCTGATGATATTGAACATCTTTCATGTGCTATTGGTCATTTGTATATCTTCTGTGAAGAAATATCTGTTCATATCCTTTGCCCATTTTTAAAATTGGGTTGTCTTTCTGTTGTTGAGTTACAAGAGTTCTTTATATTCTGAATATTAGACTCTTACCAGACAGATGCTTTGCAAGTATTTTCTCCCATTCTGAGGATTGTCTTACTTACTTTTTTGATAGTGTCTTTTGAGGTATAAAAGGTTTTAGTATGATAAAGTCCAGTTTGTCTTTTGTTGCTTGTGCTTTAAATATTGTGTATAAAAAACCATTGCTTAACCCAAGTTCACAAAGATTTACCACCATGTTTTCTTCTAAGAGTTTTCTAATTTTAGCTCTTCCATTTAGACTTTAGTCCATTTTGAGTTAATTTTTGAACATGCTATGAAGTAGGGGTCCAACTTGATTGTTTTCGTTTGGATGGCAACCTGTCTTAGCACCATTTGTTGAAAAGACTTTTCTTTCCTCAATTGAATGGTCTTGGCACTCTTGTCAAAAATCAATTGCCCATAAATATATGGAGTTACTTCTAGACTCTCAGTTCTATTCCCTTCATTTATGTCTATCCTTATTCCAGTACCACACAGCCTTAATTAATGTAGCTTTGTAGTAAGTTTTGAAATTGTGAAGTGTGAGTCCTCCAACTTTGTTCTTTTTTGAGATTGCTTTAGCTGTTTTGGATCCCTTCCTTGCATTTCCTTATGAATTTTAGGATCAGCTTGTCAATTTCTGCAAAGAAGGCAGCTGGAATTTTGATAGGGATTGAGCTGAACCTGCACATTCATCTAGGGAGTATTGGCATCTTAACAACACAAGTCTTACAGTCCCGGAATATGGATGTCTTTCCACCTATTTAAATCTTCTTTCATTTCTTTCAATGATGTTTCATAGTGTTTAACATAGAAATTTTGCGCTTTTTAAAAAATTTGTTCCCAAGGATTTTATTCTTTTTGATGCTCTCATAAATGGAATTGTTTTCTTAATTTTATTTTTTGATTGCTTATTTCTATTGTATAAAAATACAGTTGGTTTTTGTATATTGATCTTGTATCCTACGACCTTGATGAGTTCATTAGTTTTCATAGTTTTTGTGTGTGTGGGTGGGTGGGGTTTCTTAGGATTTTCTGTGAATAGAGATAGTCATCTCTAGATATCTGTGAATATAGTTTTACTTCTTCCTCTTCAATATGGAGGTATTCTATTTATTTTTCTTGCCAGGTTTGCCCCGGCTGGCACCTCCAGCACAATGCTGAATAGAAGTGATGAGAGCAAACATCCTTGTCTTCTTCCTGATTTTAGTGGGTAAGCATTCATTCTTTCACCATTATGTGTGATGTTATCTGTGGGTTTTTTGTAGGTGCCCTTTATCAGGTTGAGAAAGTGAAAGAGTAGGAAACTAACTAACAAAATGGTTTCCCTGATGCTAAAGCTGTTTACTGATTGATTCTGACTTAACATTTTTGCAACTTGTTTTCCTATTTTCTCTGACAAACTCCCATCTTTGCTTCACTTGCTCAACTGCTTTTGTGCTTAATAGCCCCCAGCCTTTCTGAGACAGGAGGGAAGGGGCCGTTAAAAGAATGACACAGAAGTTAGCACCAAGATTGTTCAAGATTCAACCCGCAGTAGACCTTGAGCTTTATTATACACTCATTGTAATATATTAGCATGCTAAATGGCACTCTCACAGGTGCCATGACAGTTTCAAGGCTGACCGTAAAAGCTCAAAAAGTGGGTGATGGCCAAATTCCTGGGACTCCCTGCCTCTTCCCCAAAGTAGTTGGACTAATCCTCCCACCTGTTAGCATGTGAAATGGCTGAGCCCATAAAAACTAACAACCCCCATGCCTTGGGCTGATCTCATTTTTCCTAGCCAACCCCATGACCTGAGATCTTGCTCTCCCTTCTGAGTAAGAAGGCCCGCATTCTGCCTGTGGAATGTGTATCCCCTAGGCCTTGCCTCTTGCCTTTTGAGATGATCTGCATTCTGTCTATGGAGTGTGTACCTACTTTTACTTTTAACTGAACACCCACCCCCATACCTCATGCCCTCTCTGGCCTTCTGAGATGGACTGCGCTCTGTCTATGGAGCATATATCTCCCTGAATAAATCTACCTTCACTCTACTATGGCTTGCTCTTGAATTCTTTCCTTCTCAAAGCCAAGGACACTCACTTGGTGAGTGTGTCCCAAGGACTTGACCAAAACCTGGGATACAGCCATCCTCTCATGCCCCATTTTTTCCTGGATCATTTCCATTACACTCTCCATTCCCTATACATTCTTTACCCAGTATACCTTATCCTTTAACCTAGACACTGTGTTCCAGAAAGGTGGTCATGGGCTGATAGTCTCAGGAGAATGAACAGACCCTCTGAAGTTTCTCCATGATGCCAGGTGGATTCATCAAGATTAAGAAGAATACAGCACCCTGGAAAATGCCCTGATTGTTGTCACCTTTCTGTTCCATCCAATTTGTCTAAAAACCTCAGGACACCGACCCCAAGATGGATTCACAGTCTCTAAGGCATTTGCTTCTGTGACTCCTCTTTGCCTGGCAAAGCAATAAAGCTGTTCTTTTCTAATTTTCACAAAACTCTTCCTCCAAGTCTCAATTCAGCTATCAGGGTACAAAGGCTGTTTTTTTAGCAAAAAAGTTCTTTTCTATTCCTACTTTGTTGAGCATTTTTATCATGAGAGGGTGTCAGATTTTTGTCAAATGCTTTTCCTGCATTGGTTGAAATCACTGTGTGGCTTTTGTCCTTTATTCTATTAAAATGGTGTATTACACTGATCAATTTTTAATGTTAAACCAACTTTGCATTCCTGGGATAAATCCTACTTGGTCATGTTGTATAATCCTTTTTAAAGGCTGCTAGATTTTACGCATTCTTTCTATCTTATGTCATATGTCTCCTTTTTCCATCCATTAGTTTTTACCCATGTGAATGAAAAATATTGCCTGCCATCAAGCCATCACATTGAAGCTGCCCCTGACTGTGAGCCCTGAGGGAACTCAGGTTGGAGGGAACTCAGGTTGGAGGGAACTCAGGATGCCCATCATCAGCCACCGCAGCCATCCCCCAACAGTGTACCCTTAGGAGATTCTGGATGGGAAAGCACAGGATACTGGCCCTAGAGAGCGGAGGTGCATATCAAAGGAATGATTTCAATAAGCCCAGATTCTTGCATCTTCCCATATATAGAAAAGTGCTAAATTCCTTAACTCGAGATGTCTGATTTTATTTAATTAACAGTAACCTTTTGATGTTCTGACTGCCTGGTCTTTGTTGCAAAAACTCCTATATATCCTGGCTCCTCCCTTACCTCTTCAGAACAGTCCCTTAGAGTAATCTGAGAGACTGTCTCCTGGGCTTGAAGTCCTCAGTGTGTCCACTGAATAAAACATAATTCTCAGCTTTTAGGTTGTGCATTTTTTAGTTGGCAGCCAGCTTCTTAAAATGTATTTGCATTTAAAAAATCATCCATGTACACCATAGAGAAATAGTAGTGCCTTCAGTAAACCAATTATAACATGAAATAGCAAAGTCTTCTGTATCATAGACCCCAGTCCACAACCCAGAGGTAATCATTTTGGCATCTCTGTTTTGTGACTCTGTTTAGGGGCCTTTGTTTTTCAGAGCAATTCTGAGTTCACAGCAATACTGAGCAGAGGGTACAGAGATTTCCCATATACCCTGGCCCCCTACACGTGCATAGCCTCCATTATCAACATCCCCCACCAGAGTGGTACGTTTGAAGGAGAATTAATAAAATGGCTGCACTTAGGCTAACACATTGCTTATTCTTATGCTCGCCCTTAGAATGATCAACAAGCCTGACTGACCGGTTACTACTCACAGCTCCAAGCCCGTTGTTAAAACTAAAGCTATTGATTTTACTATTTCTGCTCTATCCCAGTAATTAAAAGTAACAATCGTACTTGGTTTCTGAGTCCTTCTCCAGGGAGAAGGTCATGGGACTGTAACCTTATAAAATAGCCTGAATTACCAAGAAGACCAGGCCTTGGGTGCTTATAAGATAAAGAGATGGAAAGAGCGACAACCACTAGCCTCTACAGAATTGGTCACCTGGAGACACCATGATGCCACTCTGTCTTATGAGAAGAAAATAATTCTGTTGATTGTTATTGATGCTTTATTGTCTGAGCTATGGCTATATAATCATTCTGCCCCATCCTCAAGATGGGTCCACAGTTTTGAAGGCACTAGCCTACTGTGAGTCCCCTTTGCCCAGCAAAGCAATAAAGCTGTCTCTTTTCTTCTAAGTTCCAAAACCCTGTCTCTGAGCTATTTGGCTCCTCAGGGATGGGGGCCCATCTTTCAGCAACACATTTGTTAATACTAATGAACCTATGTTCACACATAGTAATCACCCAAAGTCCATAGTTTACATTAGGGTTTACGCATGGCATTGGCCATTCTATGGGTTTGGACATACTCATAATGACATGTATTAGCCATTTCATATTTCTTGATTTATCAACATTTGATTGTATCTAGAAGAAGTAATTTTCAAGCTCACACTCTCGGCTCCCTTCCCACCTTTCTTCTCCCGTAATGTCAATTATCTGTTTGTTTCCTCCTAGTGGTATGATAGATTGTGTTTTCAAAGTGGACTGCAACAAGGTCTCCCATCCCACCTGCTCCCTTGCAATATTAATTTACCTTTCTTCCATCAAGAGGTGGAGTCTGTTTCCCCTTCCTCTGAATTTTGGCTGCCCCTGGACCCATTTTGATCAAAGAAATGCAAGAAAATTGACAATGTGTACCTTCCAAGGCTGGACCTTAAGAGATCTGCAGCATCTGTCTTCATCTTGAAATGTTTCTTCTTGGAAACTTGTCATCATCCTGTGAGGAAGCCAAAGCAGACAGTAGACAGGCTGACATCCAGCAGAACAGAGCTCGACATGTAACATTGTGGCCAGGGCTCCCCACTGAGCTTTAAGCTGGCAATGAACATCCCTTGCTAGTCATATGAGGAAGGCTATCTTGGAGCATCCAGCTATTCCAGCTTCTCAGCCAACGCTGCGGGAAGCAGAGCCACCCAACTGAACATTGCTTGAATTTGTGACCCATAGAATTATAAACAAATAAAATGATTGCTGCTTTAAGCCACTAAATGTTGGAGCAGTTTGTTACACAGCAATAGGTAGCTGAAACACATGGCTAATTTATAATTCTAAATTGTACCCTTAAACTTCTATTTATTGATTCCACTATGTATAATAAAAATTTGTTCATCCTGTTGTGGACAAAGAATGTGGCCTGCCATTTCTGCTATTTCAGTACAAAGAATGTTGTGGCCATCAAGCCTGCAGCCGCTGGAGCTGCCCTTCAGGTCACACCTGTGGGATGTAGAAAATTGGATACTGGCCCTAGACAGTTAAGATGCATATCGAATGATTTCAGTAAACCCAGACTCTTGCCTCTTCCCATATATAGAAATGCACCATAATCATCAACTTGAGATGTCTGTTTTTGTGATTAGCAGTAATCTTTTGATGTTCAACTACATTTTTTCCCCCCAGTAAAAACTCCCTTACATCTTTGGAACAGACCCTCAAAGCTATCAGAGAGGCTATATTCTGGGCTTAAATCCTCAGTAAATCTGCTGAATAAAACATAATTCTCAGCCTTTAGACTGTGCTTTCCCCCCCTAGTTATCTCCCCACATTTCCCAACCTCTGTGGCTGCATCATTACTTCTACTTTGTCAATGTTTTAAATATGTATATTCTATCTTATACTTATGATAAACTATTCTGTGCATATAAACATACTCTGTGCAATGAACTATTCTCTGCATTATTTAGCTTTGCTCTTTCAAATATGGTAGCTACTAGCCACATGTGGCTACTGAGCACTTGAAATGTGTCCAGCCAATTGATATGTGCTATATATGTAAAATACACACCAGATTTCCAAGACTTAGTGCTAAAAAAAAAGGTAAAGTATCTCATTAATATTTTTTTGTTGATTAAATGTTTAAGTGGTTTTTTGAGTATGTTTGATTAAATGAAATATATTATTAAAATTAACTTGACCTGTGTAAGTGGTTTGGGTTGCTGTAACAAAATACCGCAGACTGGATGAATGGTTTAAACAACAGAAACTTATTTTCTCACACTTCTGGAGGCTGGGAAGTCCAAGATGAAGGGACCGGCAAGTTTCATTCTGAGGTCTCTTCTCTTGGCTTGTGGGTCAGTGCCATCTCTCCATGTGCTCACAGGACCCCTTCTTTGTGTGAGTAAAGAGAGAGCAAGAGACCTGCTGTCTCCTTTTTCTCCCATCTCCCAGCTCTGTTGAGATCGACATGTAACGTGTAAGTTTAAGGTGCGATATCACCTTATCATCATCACATAATCAATGTGATGACCTAGTACACAAGTACCTTGTGAAATGATTATCATAAAAGGTTAGTTAACAATTCTATCACCTCACATAATTACCGTGTGTGTGGTGAGAACACTTAGGATTTACTCTTTCAGCAAAGTTCATGTATATGATACAGTAGTTCCTTTAGTCGTCATGCTGTACGTTATCCCCAGAACTTATCCAACTTGTGCGTGGAAGTTTGTACCCTTTGACCACCCGTTCATTTCTCCCACCCCAACTCCTGGCAACAACCATTTTACTACCCGTTTCTACGAGTTCAGCTTTTTTAAGAGTCCACACACAAGTGAGAGCATACAGAATTTGTCTTTCTCTGTCTGACGTACTTCACTCAGCATCATGCCCTCAAGGTTCATCCATATTGTTGCAAATGGCAGGGCTTCCTTCTCTTTTAATGGTCTGATAATTTCCCCTTGTGTATATAAACCCCATTGTTCTTTATCCATTCATCTGTTGATGATACTTGGGTTGTTTCCATGTCTTGACTACTGTGAATAATGCTGCAATGAACATGGAAGTGCAGATATCTCTTTGAGATAGTGATTTCATTTCCTTTGATAAATACTTAGAAGAGGGATTGATGGATTATATGGTAGTTCTACTTTAAATTTTTGAGGAACCTCCATACTATTTTCGGTAGTGGCTGTATCAATTTATGTCCCCACCAACAGTACCCTGGTGTCTCATCCTCTTATAAGGACACCAGTGCTATCAAATTACAGCCCCACCTTTATGACTTCATTTAACTTAACTTACTCCCTTAGAGGCCCCATCTCTAAATACAGCCACACTGAGGGTTAGGTCTTTAACATATGAGTTTGGGGGACACAAACATGCAGCCCATAATATCACCCATATCTTTCTACGTTTGTAATGTGGCTACTAGAACATTTAAAATTACATATGTTGTGCACATTATATTTCGATTGGCAGCACCAGTCTAGATGTTGGCTTTAAAAATTGAAAATCAACTGTAGTGGGCTGAATGGTAACCCCCCCCCCGCCCCAACACCAAATACGTCCATGTCCCAAACCTGTGATTGTGACTTTATTTAGAAAAAAAGGCTTCACAGATGTAATTAAGTTAAGGATCTTGAGGGGAGGAGATCATCCTGGATTATCTGGATGAGCCCTATTTGCAATGACAGGTGTCCATATAAGTGACCCACAGAGGAGAAGACACAGAAGAGAGTAGGAGGCAATGTGACCACGGAGGCAGAGGTTGGAGTGATGCAGTCACAAGCCAAGGGCTACTTGGAGCCACCAGAAACTGAAAGATACAAGGAAAGATTCTCCTTTAGAGCCTTTGGAGAGAGGCTGTCTTGCTGACACCTTAATTTCAGACTTCTGGCCTCCAGAACTGTGAGAGAACAAATTTCTGTTGTTTTTAAGCCACCAAATTTGTGGTCAGTTGTTACAGTTCTAGGAAACCAATACATAAATACAATATCATTTATAGTATTAGGACAAAAAATTGTGATTGGATCCACAAAGAATTAAGTGTGATTCTTTGCAATACAATTGTGCTTCTTGAAGGAGAGGTTCTTAGCATCAAGGTCAAATGGACTCTTGTTTATTACACTCCCTCTATTTCTTGAAATGAGCTTGTGTCAGATCAGTGATTGCTTTGGAGCAGAGAGGACTGACTGGGAAGGGACATGAGAGAATTTTCTGGAGGGATGGACATGTTCTTCATCTTGACAGTGGTGTAAATACGGGATGTTAAATGGAAGTACACATTTGTCGAGGCTGATTGAGTGGTACTGTTAAGCTCTGAGTACTTTTCCATATGTATGTTATAGCTCAATTTTAAATAAATAAACAGCTTGATTCTGATGGGGTTTAGGGCAGGTTGCCTCCAAATATCCACTTTGGCATATTGATTATTTTGAATTAAAGTTACTGGAGAAAGAACCAGTGCAAAAAAGGACACTCTGACCCTCTCTTTGTTCCCCTGAAAACAGGAAATAAATCTCCCACATGAGAGGTACCCTCCCTGCACCAGGAGGTTAAGAGACATTCTTATCGCCTGTGATAGGGAATTCAGGGCTGAGAAGGCCAAGTAAACAAAGTCTGCTTTGTTTCTTCACTAATTAGTACCCAAGCCTAAATTTCTTTGTCTTGTCAGTTTCTCACAGTTTTTTGTTTTTGTTTTTGTTTTTGTTTTTAGTTCATCACAAATGTATTGTTTCTTTGTCTAAAAGATATAAAATCTAACCTGCTTTGGTCATTTCTTTGCATCTCATATTTCTGGGAACTCCCATACGTACAAAATTAAAGTTTGATTTTCTCCTGTTAATGTGTCTCATGTCAGTTTAATTATTAGACCAGCCAGAAGAACCTAGAAAGGTAGATGGAAAGTTTTTCTTCCCTGACACTTTATATATGGATGGTGACTTCCTTATATCACTTTTTGTTTTCTCTAGAGTTTTAAAATTGCTTCTCCCCCTGCTACCTTTCTTTTTTTTGGCAGAGCAAAACTCCTCCTCTTTCATAAACATTATCTGTTGGTTGAAACCCACTTTCTCATTGAAAGCACTCTTCATGTAACTCCTTGACTTCTTACTGTAACTGAGCTACTCATCTATAGGTCTGTGGACAGCTGTCATTCTAGGATTTCTTTTCCTTAATTCCTTTTTCATTTTGCTGGAGTTTGTCCTTGAATTTTTTTTTTTTCCAGAAAAGACACATGGGAAGTCAATGTTCTGAGTGTTTACATTTCTGAAAAAATTTTTTTGCTCTTTTGGCTGAGCATACAGCTACAGAATCAAAACAACATCTCCTGAGGACTAGGAAGGCATTGTCTCTACACCTTCTAGAATCCACTACTGCCGCTAAGGCTATTTATTCTTTTGCAGGTGACCTGCTTTTCCCTCCCCAGAAACTTGGGATTTTTTCCATTATCCTTAGAATGTTGTAATATCATGGAGGCTGTGTCTAGGCATTTTGTTTGGGTTTTGTTTTGTTGCTTTGTTTATCTTGCTTGAGACACGAGCCTTTTCAATCTGAAGATTCGTGACTTTCTTCAATTTATGGATATTTTCTTCTATTATTTTCATCCTCACTGTTTCCTTCCTCTCTTCCTCCTCTTTCTCTGGAACTTTCAGAGGGACTGCCCTCCTGTTCCTTATTTTTACCCCCCTTTTTGGAACTTCTCTATCTGCCTGTCCTTGAAGTGCTGGAATTCCCCCAGAGACCAGCCAGAACATGTCTTATCACGCCCCGCATCCTCTCGAGATGATCACATCTATTCTACAGCTTTACTTCTCTCCTGTTTTGAGGCCTGTGCCTTTCTCCACAAGTCTCATGAGCTCAGACCCAAATCCCTTCTACCTGCTCAGTCCACACAGTACTTCACAGATAACTTAAAATCTTAGGCAAAATCACTTTCTCCTCACTTGTAAAAAATCAAACACATTTATGTGTCTCCACGCCTCTCAGTGCTCTACTAGGATGCTTCTGACAGTTCTGGTCACCATATGTGTGTGTATATAGGGGTTGTTCCCCATGCTAACCAATGCTGTGACACCAGCCAGATGTCCTATAATTAACTCAGTTCTGACACCATCTACCTGGAGATAAGCATCAGATCCACAGGTTAAGCCCCTCCCACCGCCAGACACCCACTGCCAATTGCAAGTCCAGGTTGTTACCTGTGCTTCTGACCCACTGGCTATAAATTGGAGGTTCTCACCATTCCTTCCTTGAGTTCAGTTAATTTGC